TTCAATCAGTCGATACCGATCACCAAGTTCTGAGTACCGAATTTCGAACAAAAACTGTGATGAATACCAGAGAACTCACAAGTCGTCTGAACGTCAGCGGTGAAATTGTTGTATCCAGTTTCGAGTCATTTAAACGCCAATATCAAGCAATTTATAAAAGTGATGCTACCGACACACGTCAGACCAACGCTCCGAATGTCGAACAAATGAAGAAAATGGACAGTGAATTCAAAACGCTCAGTTCAGCCGTCTGCGGGCTGAAAAGATCAATGGAGGTCGCCCGAGATCCACGATTCCATCGGTTCTGAATTGATTTGCTACCAAAGCATTCCATGTTGATTCACTTGATACTGTTCGAACAATCGATACATTATTTTATCAAATAAACGGCCAAAAAGAATGCACTCAGTCTTAAATTTTATTTTTCATTTGGTTTTCAAAAATAGCCCTTATTTTGTGTATTTTCGCTTGATTACTTGACCAACTCAGCCAGCTCATGCTCGTTTCGAAACAATCAACAGGATAAACAACGTTAAGTAAATAATGAAAATCACGCAGTGCGAAATATGCTTTATTGTTTCTTTTGATGGTATTTTGCTCATCAAAACTGTAAGTATCATTCGACTAATCGACTGTTTATCTACGGCTGTTTTGTCAATAAGAGAAAAAATCGCCTCATTTATATTTGGATAACTCAATCGAGTGCATTCTTTAGAGTCAGTTTCGAGAGAACAATGTCACGTAAGTATTTCTGCTCGTGCAAAAGCGTGAATTTATAAGAAAGTAAAACTGGAGATTTTTTTTTATCCGGGTGCGCAAAGGTCGAGACAGTGCCAATAAATCGATTCTTGAAGAATCGGAAAGCATTTCACGGAATACCCAAGTCATGACCGAGGTAGCTGAGCGTAAAGCGGTAATCAGCTTATCTGCAAAAGAACACAGCGTGGATTTGCGTCGCAATGAACTCAACTTAATGCAAGAGCTGAGAAAATATCGAAGAAGTGATGAAATACGGCCGGTAGATCAATATGTCATCTCACGAAAGACAAAGTCAATTTAAATTTGGCTCGAGCAATAATTACCATTTCTTACGAAATTCATATGGGCAAAAAAAATTAACCAGTTCCATAATAAAAAAACTGATATTTGAAGTATTTTTGTTTCTTTTTCTGTGCCAATTTCTGTTTGCTTGTGATTGTTTGGACTACTGCTTATCGCCGCTTATTTTCACTTCACAGCGAAATTTTTTTTCTGCTTGTTCGTCGCTTGTTGATTAAATTGAATTCAAATGATTTGCTCTGAGTGCATGGTAAGTAAACACGATTGACAAACTGTTTTTTAATGCTAATGAGGCAGTTGATAGCAGCAGTTTTCAACGACCAGACGATTATTTTCGTTAACAACATCTTTTGTTTAATCTATCACTTTGCCAAAATCATCGCGTCGTGCATAATCACATTTTTACGCAGTCAAGAAAGTTTTCACTTAAAAACGTAGTTTGAAGCACATGGATCAAGGAAGCAAAGACTCTCAGTTTCCCCAACAACGGAATTTGATGATGAGCCGATCACAGAAATTAAACCATTTGAAGCACCAAGTGAATGTTCAAGAGGAGAAATTCACACATGCTCAACAGGAAATCGAGCAAGTGAAAGTCATGTTAACCGATGCCAGAAACAGACTTGAAACAATAAAAAGTCGAAATACCAATCAAATGCCTGTGCTGAATACGTCAACCACTGCATATTTTCCTGTACCAACACAAATGGATCATTCTGTGGTAGCTCGAAACAAAGAAATGAAACATGCCGATAATTATAAATAAATGAAGTTATTACCGTAACAGTGTCACGTGTAGCAGACCATGTCATATGTGAAACAAAAAATTAAATAAATATGCTAAAAAAGAATTCAGATGTTCGAAAATAGGATTAAATTCGGCAATAAAAATTCTTAATATCCCAAAATGTTTTTGTTCTTGGAATTTACTGTTTTTAGTATTGCTATTTTCGGTTTAAAATTAAACAAAAATATTTTCAGATGTGCATTTTTTTGGCTATGGTTGTTGATTTTTATGGTTGACATTTTTGTTTGTTGTTTCTTTCTTGAGCACAGTCATAAAATGGATTGTTGTATGTAAGTATGTAAGTATGCAAGCTGCATCTTGTTTATACTTCGAGTACGTTTACTTGTGGTATTTTTGGACTTAAAGAAAATAGCGCGATCGTTGTTAGCTCAGAAACAACAGTAGCGTCGAATTATAAGGACGGCTCTAGTAATCCAGTTATAGAATTAAGAAATTTCAGTTGGTGTGCTTGGGAACATACATCAAAATGAACGGTAAATTGCAAGCTAATTAACATTTTCTATAATAACGAATTATTATAATCGGATCAAGGAATTGGAATACAAATTAATTTCAACCTCATTGAAATAGGCAACAAAGGAAAGATGTCACCATCGCAATGGGTAAATGGTCTCAGCGCAAGCGATAGCAAATTGTTGAAAATGCAATTACAGCTATCAACAATACGACTGAAACATCATGAATTACAACAAGAGGAAAAACAGAATGCAACCCGTTTGCATAAGATGGCCGTAAAAATGGAAAAAATAGATAATGAACTGAAACAGTTAATCAACAATCGACCGGAAAACAAATACGATAAATGATCGACCTAAATCAAGTGTAACATTAAACATGGCAATAAAGAATTCAAAGCAAAAACAAAAATCTTGCAAATATTTTTTATTATAACGTTCTCACCTACTTTTCATTGTTGTCCTGTTGATCTTTTGTGCACTATATAAGAGCGATCTTTAGTTTCATCAACTCATTTAAGTCGCTTCTTCGCTTGAAACGGAACTGGATTTTCCTAGGAATTGCATCAGACTTTTGTTCAAGTGCAGCATTGGGCAGAACTTTTCATACTTCGTTTTTCAATTGTTTCGCCGCAAACAAGCATTCAGAATGTCAGGTATGTAGAGTGTCAATCGAGGGGCAAACCACTCAAAAGTAATACTGTGTATTAGTATTACTTTCAGTAATACTAATGTAAATATTACCTTGTATTACTTTAGTATTACTTTTTTCAAACAATAGTATTATTTTTAAAAGGAGTATTACTTTATCAAAAGTAATACCAATTTTACCTAGTATTACTTCGTATTACTTCGCAGGTATTATGTATTACTTTTGAGTGGATTGCCCCTTGGTGTCAATGGTGATGACAGTTCCGTTGATCCTAATGGCAATTTTCTGTGAACTCAAGATTCGCCGCGGAAGATTCAACAGAAAATCGATATGCTGCGGTCACAAGTCAATCGAATGGAACACAATCTTGACGTGATCCTCAATATGTCGATCAACGCACAACGCGTCGTCGATAAAAAGAATGCAGAGATAAAACAACTGCAAATGCAAAGCATGCGATACAACGCAAACAATGGAAACAAGGAAAACCACCGCAACTGATTTTGTGAAGAGTTTAATTCCATCGAATGTTAAACTTTAAATTCGAATAAATGAGTTCCTTGAAATAGTGCTCAAAATCAAACGTATTGTGTTTTGTGACTTGTTCTACGGTAGAATGGACTTAATTCATAGTTTTTAAATCTTGAATAGTTTTCAGAGCCTGTCCGTGCGCTCTTTGCGCCCTGGTGCAAAATTTCCAGGGCGCCCTTTTCTTAGGATGAAAAGAAATAGACTCAAAATTGTCTCAAAACGAGTAACTTTCTTGTTAGAAAAGTTCTGTACGCTATTGTGTGTATCGTTCATATTATGAACTTCATGGTGTACAATACACTGTTTCGTGTATATATGAAAGAAACGAAAAAAAAAAATCCGAGGAGCGCGCCGAAGGCACGCGAGCCAATTTTTTTTGTCATTTCAAAAATATAGCGCTTGAATACACATGTTTACTGAGAATTACATGGAAAAGGATCCTCAAAATAACTGAATATATTTTATATTCGGTTGAATAAATACTGAAATCTTATTGTTTAATATTTTTAAATTGGTAAAAAGCGCTTTAAATATCATGCTCTTTCTTCATCTCCTCACACTTTGATTTCATTGAAAATGACATCCCTGGTTTTTTTTTTGTATTCTCTTCTCTGCTGTACATTACTTGCTCATTTTACCCGTGTCAAACCACACCAACTGATTGCAGTGAAAATATCCGTTCTCGAATTCGACGGTTTCAAATTGAACATAGGCATAGTCGGCATAGTGTAAGGAAAAAAAGAGCGTAAAGAGTGTCGCACTCTTTAACGAAAAATGCCACACACACACACACATGTAAATGAAATGATTGTCAATAAATAATTGTAACGAAATCTATTGGCACTTCAATATATATATAAGCTGATCAAATGCTTTTGATGCATTCGGCGCTCTCGACGCCTGAATTTTTCTACGTATTTTTGGAAAATTTAAGCAATTTAAGCGCTCCAATTTTTCTGCCAGTTTGCACAAATTTTAAGGCTCGCGCGCCTTCGGCGCTCCAGCGCCGTGGTGCGGCGCACCACTTGCGCCCTATCTGGGACAGGCCCTGATAGTTTTCAGTGAAATTGATAACGAATGAAAAAATTGATTGTTAAGAATCGCTCGCTGATAACATGTGAAGAAGACTTCTTTTGTATCTTTTGTTTCTATACTGTATCTTGTTTCTACACTGTAGATAAATACCCAGCCGATTTTCCTTACTTATCAATTTTCAGAATAGACTTCTTTGTTATCTTTCGGAACAAACAGAATATTTCAATTGATATCACTCAAAACCGTTTCTCTGAACCGAACGAAAAATAAGTCATAAACAAAAACAATCTTTCCATCACAATGGCATTCATTTTCGGCTTGAAAATCAATAAACAGTTCATCGCGGTTTGTATATTTTACAAGGAATCCCCAAAAATTCGATCGGATGTTTATCTACGCGGCTTCATTTCGAGCAATTCTGCAAATTTTCGACCAAAGTACTGCAAAGACTCATCGATTCAACCATAATTGACATGCTAAATAATTGGCTATGCCATGTCAACGCATTCAGTACGCCATTGATCGATGATTGATTCGGATATTTGGCGATTTTGTTCCGTGCTTTAAATAGAGACACATAATTTCAGTTGCGTTTCAATTATTCATTTTTGGACACAGGCACATTGAACGTGACAAAATGAATGGTATTTCTATTCAAATGGAGTCGAAGAAAGTGAGTGTGTTTCGATTGTTTCAAGTTTTTTTTTATTTGTTCGAAAGGCAATGACGACCCACGATACAATACGGACAAGTCGTCAATGGATATGCGAAAAACACTGACGGCTCTGGAAAGAAACACCCATAAGTTTGTCCAAGAACACAATGATCTGTCAAAGAAAGCCGAGCACCTCAAATACAAATGCTTCATCGAGGAACGCAATGATTGCCGATCGGGACAATCAGGTGAGTTTGGCAATAGCTAATTAATATGTTTTTCGATTTTGTTTTTGTTTCTATTTCTATACTATGCCTTGGTATTTCATTCATCGATTTTCCCTTCATAGACCCACGCTATCGTGCAAGCAGTGTTGGACAAGAATTGCGCGAAACATTATCGACGCTTCAAAAAACCACGTACACATTCATTCGCGAACACGATGAACTGGCAAATCGAGCCGAATACTTGAAGTACACCGATTTCGTTAGGCAACGTGAAAAGCACAATGAATAAACAACTCAGGCCAAACGTACAACAAAAAACGTTAAATTTCATGGTTCAGCGGATCTATTCAACCTGCTAATTTTAGTTGTACGTTTTAGCAAATCGAAATCAATCGTTGCATTGTACCGAAGCCAAACCGATTGAAATAAATACAACAATATCGTGTATTTGCAAATCAAAAATGTTTGATATTTTCCTGTTTTTTTCTTCGTATAATCAAATCTATAACCAAGCATAACAACGGCATGAATCGAATGTTTCATTTCAGTGGCAAGTCTCATGCTTGTTCGCAAAATGCAATCAAACTTTTGACTGTCAGCTGTTCTTCTGTTGTTGTATGACGTAAATTCGTTGACACTGCGAAATATCCTGTAACAAATAAAAACAACAAAAATTATAACACCATGTCTTTGTTCTTGCATTGATTCTTTGAATGTTCTTTTTCATTTGGCATCAACAGGGAAATTGGTTCACGAAAACGATTAAATGCTTGATTGTGCTCAGCTTACTCGGTTTGAGCTGTATATGAGAAATGTTTTTTGTTTTGAAGGGCCGATTTTTGCTGTCTTGATTACTTGGTTTGAAAACGCATTTTCAGCTCTCTCTTTCACGAACGGGAAGTTGAAATATCGACATCGATCTGAAGCAAGGTATAAAAGCCGAATGCAAACCTGACTATTGATAACAGTTTGAAATTGGCATTCGATTGAGATAGTTCAATTGGGGATTGAAGAGAGAATTGGCTTGAAGTTATCTCAAATCACAGCAAACTGACCTTTTCCAATACGACGAGCACGCTTCACGACGAGCACGCGAGTGGCGAGTATCAAATTCTCTCTGGACGAGTACCCGATTGGCCAGTAATCAAAAAGCAAATTTTCTCATCAGAAATTACCATCACACGAACGAGTCATCATGGGCAACAGTCCAACGAAATCAAACGAAAAAAAGAGCGATCCGGCGAGCTGCAAGTGTCGCAAGACCGAATTCAACCTGAAATGGTGCGAGTGTGGCCGTAGCAAGCCATCAAACGAATCATCAGCCGATGCAAAGATTCGATTCTGGATTGATCCGGAGAAAATCAAGAATGGCATCCGCTACAACTCACTCGACATTCCTGAGCACGCAAAAACCAGCAAAGACCGCGATCCAGAGTATCAAGCGTTCGTACGTGGACTTCAAGAGGCTTCCAACAAAATCAACCGTCACTTGAAGTACGATGCAAAATGAGTTTTGTTTTTCAGTCAACTTTATTTATTCACCGTAAATTATTCCGTTTATCATTAAGTTATTTATCCAAAGCGATAGCGTTGTAAGGCCAAAACAAAATTTGTTGATTGAAAAAGAAAAATAATAATCGATGACATGTTTCTGTTTCGAACTGAATTCGACAAATATCAGTAATTGTGAATAAAATGCGTTGAAAAACCGTTACATTAAACTAAAACAGAACACTCTTTGATTTCACTTATCTCAATTGCTTATCTGATCTTCTTGAACATGGAAACAAAATGTGACCTGCTTCGATATGTAAGTATAGCAACGGCAACTTTGAACTTAAGGTTTCTACACGAAATTTCTCTTGAAGATAAAAAAAGCATCCCTCTGAGTAGATTGCACCAACTGTTTACATAAATTTGGACCAAACCGACTATTGCGTGAGACCACCATACCGAATCAACTTGAATGATTTGCCGTGTTCCTAGAAGCACAGTTCCATAAGGACCTCATTTACAACTGCGCGGGTCACAAAGAGATAATGAAAGACGAAGAAAAAAAAACGTTAATTGAGCAAACATATTTTGAAACTGGATCTATGTCTTCCGTTCAACGCTTTGCCGCATTTACACTTGACGATGTGGTTTCACTCGATGCAGATGTTTCTCATAATTAGTCGGTTTTTTTTTCTGACGCATTTTTGCCTCAACTGTTGAATTATCAAGAGCAAGCGTAACATGACTTTGATTTTTATTCAGCTTTGTCGCTTCCCACATTTTTGTGTTTTGCTTCGGTTAATTTACTTACGGTGGATATGTTGCACATTAATTGCGTCTAACTAAAGAAAAGCAAAGCCGACTGCAATCGCATGCGTTGGGAAAGAGTGCTACCAATTCATAAAAGAATGTGCGTAAGTAATTTTTGCTGTCAAGACGATGTTTGGAGCGATGTAACCTGAGACAAATGCACTGAATAACACATTAGTTCCAATTGACGCGCCACTACGACATGTACTTGGATTGGCTGTCGTTGTCTTACCTCAAGCAAACCACTTTTCATCCTTCAATTTTGAAACAGAGGAAGCATTTCAGATAACCGTCAAACGAATCATTCAATCACTTCAGATGACATCCTTTCATTCACTTACTTTGTATTGATATTGAGCTACAATCTGAAAAGCAAGCCTGTGAAAAAACCCTATCTATTCGAATCAAAGTAGGCTGTTTTACGGTTTGAACATTTATTTCAAGAAACAAACAAGTGCTTTGAACTTATTACATAATTCATCGTTCATTCGATTCACGTTTCATAACGTTTCGATATAAATTTTTTTGACTCTTGTCATTCACGATTCGATCTGAATAATTTTCAACAAAAAATTACCAGATTTCATTCTTCGTTCGATTTAACCAACTAACTAAATTCGAATGTGATATCGCTTTCGTATTGCAATACAAAAGACGATCACCAGTCTTGTGTGTGTATGTGATTTTCATAGAAATATGAACGTGATTTTATAAGAATAAATGTCAAAATACGAAAAAAAATAGAAAAAAAGGTATGAAGCGCAGAATTGCATTACCGATCGGTTTTATTCGCGGTGCATTGCGGATACCTTGGTGCTAGTCTTCTTGTAACGCTTCACGGCCTGTTGCATCGGGTTGTTGGGTGCAGTGACATAGTGTCCATTTGAGCTGGGAGCGATTTCCGTGTCGGCATCATCATCCCCATCCTCGTTGGCGACCACGGTGATATACTTGCGCTTTAGTGACTTGTGCGATGCAGACTTGCCGGTTTTCGCCAGATTCGGCTGTCCATCGATTGTTTTCATCTTCATGCCATGAACCGATTCCCAATGTAGGAACACCAATGCCTTCTTTGAGAATTTTTTCGGGCAGAAAATGCAAGTGTACTGCTTCTTTTGCCGAGTAATGCCCGATGTGCCAGGCTCGTCGATATTTTCGACCTTTTCGACCAATGGCGATGATTTTGGCACAGAGGCGGCAGCAGTAGTAGCGACGACGGCTGGAATAACCTTTGGGACGGTCACGATGATCGATGCCGCTGAAACCGTTGTAGCTGATGACGATGCTTCTGGAACGATGGCTGGTGGATCAGCTTTGGCGATCGGTGTGCTTTGTGGGCGCACATTTTCCTTACCTTCGTCGTCGTTCGGTTGGACCGTTTCATCGTGAGCGTCACCATTCGATAGATTCTGTTGAACTGGCTCCATTTCGTGAGCTTCCTGTTCATTTTCAATCACTTCATTTGCGCCGTTCTCAGCAGCTTCAGGCTGCTCTTGTGCCTCTTCCATGTCTTCGTTGTCATGGTCCGCTTCGGATAAACCATCTTCAGTATCACTTTCGACCGTCACGACATCCACCACTTGTTGCTCATTAGCATTCTGACCGTGTTGGTCGATTTGAGCGAAGAAATTGTTGATTTCTGTAAAAGTAACGCAATCATCAGCAACTAATAATTGATGCAATCAATTTGATTTTTTGCAAAATCAAAACGGAAAGTTTTGTGTGAACATTTTCATTTAAAAAACAAGTTGAAAGTACTTACGATCACGAATAGAATCCAAAAAATCTTTCATCATTTGAGCGTTTTCGATGACAGCATTGTTTTCAGCCTCTAGCTTCTTCAGTGAATTGGAGTGTGCATCAATGACCTCTTGCAAATTGGCCCGCATGGCCGCGAATTCGTTTTGCTTGTGGGCGATTTCATCAGCATGCTGAGCTTTCGCGATGTCCAATTTATCAGCCATGGCTAGACCAAAGTTCTCGTACTTGCCACGAACGTCCGCCAAATTGCCTAGCAAAAATGCAACTTCAGTCGCTTCGTCCTGGTGATTAAGCTTTGCTACTTCAAGCGATGCGCAAAGAATAGAAAATGAATCGTCTTTGTCGATGGCGCTGATCTGAAGTGATTCTTCCATTTCTAAACGTACAAACGAAACGAACGAAGGGCAGTTTCAATTAGAAATCTAATTTTCTGAACTTAATTTTACGGTAAATCTACGAAATTACGTTTCTAAACAGGATTTTAATGGTTCTCAAACGAATTTCGAAAATGAAAATCGGAATTAAAAATGGAAAACGCTTATGAAAAATTCGATTAAAATCGTTAAAATCCGATAAAAGTTCCCTTAACACACCCTTTCACTTTCGTTTACACTGAATGAAAGCAGATTTCAGTGCTTTTCAGTCAACCGAGTTTGTGGTTATGTGCAATGACATGTATTTTCGCGTTAGTGCAAAAGTGACGCCAACTTCAACACGCGCTCAAATAATGCGTCGACGAATGAAGACAGCCATTTTTCTGGCGAACAAAAAATTTCATGAAGAGTTGAAATTCTATCGAGAAATAGAAGACGCAAAAAAAACAATTGGTTCTAGAATGTTCATTGCGGTGAATTCTCAAACAAAACCAAACACAATGAAACGAACGGTCGATTTCTGCCACTGTCAATGGATATTCGATAAATCAATGTTCAACAAAAAAAAAATGTCACTGAATTGCACTGAAAATGGAAATATTCTTATTTTTGACGATTTTTCTGGTCCTCAAAATAGAATGGAAATCTTCTCCACGCTTAGAATGACGAAACTTCCAGTAAAATGATGCAAATTCACGTATTTTCACTGTCTCATTGCCAATTCAAGAAAAAAACATCCATAATTCGATTTTTTCGGCATTTTTCTTTCTTAAAATGTCAACCATCGATCAACTTGAATGAAAAAAAGGCGAAAAAATGAAAAAACTCACCTAAGACAGCACTGGATTTTTTTTCACACGAGACAAACAAAAATATTCAAGCAGTTCAACTGCGACCAATTTCAACGAGTGACAATAAGAAAATGATGCGTGCGATGTCCGGCAAAATGATGTTGGTCCATGTACGAATTGTCAACCGTTAGTTTTCTTTAGATGGACAATTTCGCACACAACTCAGAGAAAGCGCGCGTGCTAATGACAGATGGTTGTCACTGTCTAACGTATCACTCATCATTAATTGGTTCGTGTCGAACTCGCTCTGCATATTGGCTACTTGAAACAATCGACGCTTTGTATTGGTATTGGTGATGTGCATGACAAGTGCTTCGATGCGGTCAACACAAAGTTGAGACAGATTGTCGTCCCTGTTGTTGTCGTTGCCGTTGTTGTTGTCGTCATGCTGATTCGCAAACGTTCAAATATGCATCGCATGGAGATTGAAATATCAACTCCGAAAATTGTGTCGTTCGCTGCCGAATACACACAAACACACAAACACACAAAGCGTATGAATCCGATGCTCGAGCTCATTCTTACCGCAAATGGTTTTACCGCTATCTTGTTTTCACTTCAAACAACAAACACATCCCAGCATTCGATTTTGAGATCCGAATTTTTCATGTAAATGAAATATGCCAACAACAGAACATTCTGATTCGATTCATGGTGAATTAATACGTTTTCATTTCAATCGAAAAACAACTGACAAAAATATCCAGCGATGGTATTCCAAAATCAACGATTCTGTCAAACGCACACGCAGTCTCACTCAGTTTTGAAACCAATTTCGGTTCTGCGATGTTTTTTTTCTCCATAGTTTCGGTATCGTTTTCAGCAGAGCAACGCCAACGGAATAAGAAAAAATGAATATGACAGTGTTGCTTGTTTGAACATAATCGTTGCATCGCATGCTAAAAAAAGGATTTGCAATTAATTTTTTTATGGCAAATGGAATGAATACCACTAAAATAGCATTGCTGTAGAGCAAACAAAAAAAACCAAGAGCCGGCAAAATGATGAATTGCTAAAAATAAATCAAAAATCATTAACGCAAAATGCGAAGAAATTCAATGTCAACGGTTTTTCTCGTTTGCTTTGCGTTCGGTTCAAAACAAAACGGCGTGAGTGCAAACATTGCTTGCGTTTCACGCGCTGAAATGTACAGTTGGTGGTGTTCGCATGATTTTAGCGGATATGAGTGTGACATTTAGTTTAGTGTGTGTATCGAAATGCCGGGAGAAAGAGAGACGACCGTAAGAAGAAAGAGAAGAAGAACAACAACAAGAAAAAGGCGCAAACAGCGTTGTGTGATGCGGTTGTAAACTGTTTTAGTTGAGCACATTTGTGTTTATTTTTGTCGATGGAAATGTACCTTTTGCCATACTGTTGCAAATGCACTCTCCCAATGCTTCGATCAATGTGCAAATATTGATATGTAAAATTGTATTGTGGCAAAATATGAAAATAGCAGAATGCACAAAAATAACTCGGTCGTCTCCCTCTCCCTTCATCGGCATGTACATCCATCTTTCTCTCTCTCTCTCTCTCTCTGTGCTGCAAAGTGAGCCCGCACACGGTCATCGAACGAAAAAGGCACGTCAGTTTATTGAATCATGTTGATTTTGTTTCTTACCTCTTTTTTTTCATCAAGTTTTTAAGGCATTTTTAGCACCTTGTGTATGCGCAAAGGTCGGTGAAATATTATAGAAGTAGCTGTTTATTTGCGATTGGCATGAAAGTAATGTGGCATGTATACGCATTTAGCACTTTCGATAAGTGCACATTGTTACCGGCCGTGATCTCTGTACACACAGCCTGAGTTGGTCGTTGATTTTTTTATACCATTTCTGTCTACTTCATTTTGATGATACGTGCATCATGAGTTAATTACAAGCCAAATACCATACACCTCTTGGATGAAGCAAATCGTTCGATGTGTCCATTAGCATTTCTCTTACTCAATGCGCATTTACACACTCTCTCGCACACCATTGCACAATGTTCGACGTCATGGAAAACTACTGAACGTTCTTCTGTGTGTTGATGTGTCATTTCTAATTTCGTTCACTTCATTTTTTTCCGAAGAAGAGAGAGAGAGCAAGAAAAGTTTTTCATGAACCAAAAAAATCGGATTTCTGCCATTTTTTCGGAAGATTGTTGAGATTTTTCAGAAAGTTACATCAAATTTCAAATCAAAGTCAGAATCATTATACAAATTCGAATTCGATTGAGCGTTCAAATGTCCGGATCGAACCGCTCTACGATGACATTCGAATGATTTGCATGCAATTCAATGACGAATTCAAAGTGACCACTAGCGACATCATTCCAAATTGAAATGAAAACACAGCACATTGATTCACGACCGTCACAATGTAATGTGACAAAATGTGGAATGAATTTTTGACATTGAAAGCGAATTCGCACTAAATTTTCAAAGATATCGGTTTTTTCCTTCTTCTCAAAGCAATGGCCATTCAAAGTAATGCAATTCAACTGATTCGCGGCGGAACAATTTATCAAGTATCTTTACGATTTCAAATAAATTAACCAAATTCAATGTTATTGCATCACGCAGCCGTCTACCTAGTCGAGTACAATTGAAAAGCATAATGCAATCGCTAAATTATTGCGATTTGCAATGTTTTTTAATTGTAAATATTTTATTCAGCACTGAACTTCGATACAAATTCTTCGAACAATTGTATCGAAGGTTTAATCGTCGTCATTTTGATTGAAGTCTTGAGGTCTGACGTAAATTTACTAAATTAATTTATTTTCAGAATCAAAATAGACCAGAGTTGTGTTGCGCGCTATCCGGATTGGAATTTCATTAAAATGTGTTTTGGTCGATAAATGTAAATCGAACGCCCTATATGAAAGATGCATCCAATGAATAAATGGATTTTTCCAGTCAATCGATTCCAAGAAGCTGATACAAAATCAATTTTAAACCACACGCTACGACATATCAATATTTCAGCGGTGTCTATGGAAAATAGGTAAAATTGTTTTCGACAAATAGTTGTGTTTTGTTTTTGTTTTTTGGATTTGTGACCAACTGTCAGTCTGGTCTATTTTGATATCAATAGCAGTACAATTCCACCCAACAATATACTACATTTGGAATATTTTACAATTTTAATCGAAAATCGGTAAAATAATTCATAAAAAAAACCATTTTGGGATCGGAAAATTTGGTGTTTCTTTAATTGTTGAGAAGAAAATTAAGACCGTATGAATTATTCAGTACAAGTCGTTCAATAGAAAAAAAAATTGAGTGCATAAACGGGGAGTTTATGTATTCAGTTCAAATAGCAATAAATTGAGTATCGTTGAAATATATCAAACGGCAAGGGGTAACGACGTTAGGTAATCAACAGAAAATATTCCATTTTTAACGATGGAGAAAAAAATCCGATTGTCTGTTCCAAAACCGTATTCCATCGATCGTGAGAGCCCCAAATTAAAACAAAGGAAAAAACCAATCTCTGAACAATTCATTTATTCGATCATCACAATGCAACGATGCAATGCACAATCGACAGCGTACGTTTCATTGCGATGAAGGAACAAAACAAATACAATGCAGATTCATTGACCAAATATTTCCATTGAAGACTGCATTTTTATATTTATCATTGTCTACATTGGGATGCCGCTTGAAAAAAAAAAATAGTTAAACCCGACACAGACCCATCGAATGACTTTCCTAATTCGATGCAAAATAAAAATCTTTTTATTTTCTTCGTCTTCTCTCTATTTTTCTTCCAGACTTTTGACCGGTTTTGCTTCGTTTTTTTATGTAATCATCATTTTGAATGGCTGAAGTAGTATGCTAAAAGAGAGGAAAAAAATGGACACAGTAAAATCAAAGCCATGTTATTTAGGGCAGGAGATACGATAAGGATGAAAATTGTATTTCAGCTTCAGAGATTGTGCGCGCGCGCCGCAGACAATGGGATCTCGGGGCAAAATGTGCTCTTCACGCATTACACATAATACACGTAGGCTTTTTCTTAATCTTCGACGTGACTCTTGCTTTTGGTCAAACACGATTTTTATATAATTTCACTCTGCTTGGTTGGTTGCCGTTTTCGGGTACTTTGGAAAAGGACTACGTGCATTTTAAGTGGGGATTGCCTTTATGGTTGCACGCTGATAAATTAACATTGTATCTGCGCACAACGGAATAAATGGCTGTCTGGCGTTCAGGTAATTTTTGTTGTTGTTGTTGTTGCTTCATGCCAAAAAAATCTCCATAATTTATTGTCTTAAATTTTTACTCTTTTCTTCTGTATCTCCATAATTTTCTCAAGGTGTTTTTGCGGACAATCAATGCCACCATTCTTTGTTGCTGAGGTGAACCGTTCGTGAGGTGAGATGTACATTGTACAAACAGAGAGTGCTCGCTATGCATCTTTTCGTTTTAGAAATGTTGCCGAAACTTTTAGAATTCATGTTTGATGGAAACGAAATGCTGCTTGTGCGCAGCAGATTTTTTTAGGGCGAACATTTTGTCAATCCATGATTTCAGCGAAACAAGTTTTCGATTGTATAACCAAGTCGAAACGCATGAAATAGAAAGCCGAAACATGCAATGTCTATTTTTGGCGCCGCCACATTTATTTTTGGAACATAAGCCAGCAATCATGATACGTAAATAGAATTTTAGATGAACGTTGGATGAAACGTTTGGATTTGAATTGCAAATACAACACATACGTCAGTCGATCGGATGACTGACTGATCGATGTTTTAGTCTGGTTTGCCTCTGGTACGCCATCGAATTCGGCTTCTCAGTCGCCTATCGTATTGGCGATTTCAGTTTCCAAAAACCAAAACGAAAACATTGTTTACATCGCAGATTATGGCAACCCAGAAAATTGACCTTGATACTATATACACAATTCTTCTATTTTGTTTAGTCGGTTTCGATTTAGTTTCACTTTTTCCATCTTCTTCGCGTTCTTTCTCATCCATCGGCTGCGTTACAAAGCCACATAAATGCTTGTACGCTTTTTTCTTCGTTATTCCGCACCAGCTTGTGTATTCACGATGTCTGCCCGTTCTCTATATCATGCGGGACGGAGTGTTTTTTCCCTTTTGGTTCTTCCATGTAATAGATACAGTATTCAAGGTAGAATGAATCGTTTTGATCGAAATCGACTCGCCATTCGTGGAGCACAATCAAATGGCTTCATATACATTAGTTGCTGGCTGTGTAACGAATGACTGGCACAGAGATGCGGAAACCATACTACGCATCAAATTGTACGCGATTTAGCCATTAGTTTCACGATTTTGCGCATGTCTAACATGCGCAAAAAGTGTCTGCACCAAGACAACAAGAGGAGGAGGAAAAAAACTCAACGACAGAGCGAAAAGCAGTCAGCATGTTAATACACGAAAGAAGCAAATGGGAAAAAAATGAAAGTGTATATTGTGTACCAAAATATACAAAGGAAAACAAATGCTAAAAAGATTGCGAACGCGCCGTGCTTAAGCTTCATCTTCTTATTGGCTGTCTCTGTGTATGAGCTATAAACCAGCTAGCGATGCTCTTGTACATACAAAATGCGAAGCAGAAACGAAGCATCGAAAACCAATATGTGTATTAAAATCGTGCGCTTTTCGGCTCCGTTTCCACTGGAGCTAAGATGCAGACGCAGTTCCGTGGGTCTGTTTTTTCCCTTCGTCAAAATTAACAACAACATAAATCCATTCTCGATAGAACAAAGGCTGTACAGAACTTGAAGAGAAAAAAAACGAAGCAAAGTGCTCACACCAACACACGCTCACGGTTATTATGACGATATTACGTGTGTATGGCTTTCGTGTGCTGTATTCTGTGGCTTGGGGTCACCTTGATCGTGAAAATGATACACGTACAACAATAACTTTTTCTTCTTTCGTTCTTCGTCAAGATTTTTTCGGCTGTTTCGTGGTCCCTTCTCTTTTCTTCTTTCAATCGACGGCCCTCTTACGACTTGCCGCAAAGAAAAATTACGCAAAGCCAGAATTTGAACAGAAGACGAAGAATAAAACGAGCGACAATCTTGCGCACACACAAGAATTTCAAAATGAATACACAAACTGAATAACAAACAGGCAGTAAAAACAAACGTATACAATCGAAACAGACGCATTTTTTGGTTAGAATGAACCCCGCTTCACTGCCAAATATTTTTTTCTCTCTCCATCGAATCGCTTCATAAAAACCATATGTTGACATAGAATAAGGCAGACAGGAAGATGAACAGTGTTTCAATTAACTAGCTGCAACGGCGAAAATGGAATTGCATTTTTCTGTCTTGGCCCATTTTTTCGTTCATTATGAGTCACCTTTTCAGAGATAGTTATATAAATTCCTCGGAGTGAGCCACAATCGGAAAAACTGAAAATATTCTCGATGAAAATTAAATTTTACCTTGAAATCACTTCGAAACAACTGGCATAATATTTGCTCAGAATTCTAATCAAACCCAAACCATTTTTTTTCTAGTTTTCACGAAACCTTTTATTGATGCAGAAAAAACGGAATGGACAAAGTTATAAAATTCATCATTTGAAAGCCAGTTATTTTCAAAGGAATTTTAACGTTTCAAAACAATTTTTTTTTCGTTCGTCAATCATTTATTGGGAATCTGGCCAAAAATCGTATATTTAAAGAAGAGCAAAAAATGGAGCGCATGCGAATGATCATGACGAGAGAACGAACAAACAACAGGTTTTCAATGATCTTCGATGCGTGATATCGAAGAAAATATCAATTCGATGGTTTCGGTTTATCAACTGATGCTTGATGCATAATCAAAATAGCAAGAGCGATGGTTTGATAGCATCACATACCAAAAAAAAATCGAGAATTTAAAACTATTCAAAAAACGCCAATTTTTTTTTGAAAAAAAATCAGAAGTCTATTATATCCTTAAGCTTCTAAGCACACCTCTCACGATTCAAGCTGAAACCTTCGGGCCATATTTCAATGCTGGCTCAAATTTATGCACTTTGTAAAGCCGCCGATTGGATTTTAGTGTCAGAATGGATACAAAAGACAAATCTAATTTATTTTTCCTTTTCAACTAAAATTGTTGAATTTACTGTTCTGTATTTATTTTTTCTCTTTTCAGACAATTGAACCGAAGACAAGGAATGAGAAGAAGAGGACAAAAAAAAACCTTACACACCTTTACCAATCGAGTCAGGTTCATATTTCTTCTGTTTCGTACAATTGGTTTTTTAAACCATCGTTCTGACATTTGATATGCATTTACTCGATTGTGTATTGTTTAACAAATGAACTCATCTGAGTCATTTTTACGGTAGCCTCGTAAAATGATGCCTAGAAACGCGTGTGCAAAGAAAAAAGGCAGCCTTTTTCTCTCTTTATTTATTTTTTTTCTTTATCTTTTTATTTTATTCAGTGAGAAAAAAAAAACGAAAATTTATTTAAGGCTGTTTTGTGTAAGAGAGGAAACCGCTCAAAAGCCGATACCCGTTTTGAATTTTTCTTCATTTTTATTTATTATCATTGGATGTTAATTCGGTTCGCTTCAATGAGCATAACACAATCGATTCCGAGGAATGGCAAAACACAATGCGCCACTTCGACGCTTCGGTTTGAAAGTTTTTTGGTTTGGAGAGTGAATTTTGCAAAAGACCTAGAGTATTCAATCAAAATATGATTTAAATGGCTCTTTAATATTAATGCCAGAGATTTTAATATTAATGCCATAGATAATGAAAATTGAACCATTGTTCTTGTACAATTTTCAATTGAAGATAAATGTTAAATTTGCAGTAAAATTTTAATGAATTTGCAGGCGTCATTGAAAATTTAGTAATTTTCCTTTTTTTAATTGAGAGTTGAAAGAAAATCACGTTTTATTTATTATTCTAAATTTCAATAATAAATGTTTTACTTTTTCTTTTTTTCCAGAACTGCTCCCCCCGTGGCGATTGAGGTAATAGCTTGAATTTTCCCACAATTTCAATTGGCTCATCAAATTCGAGTCTAATTATAGAGCATCGAATTTTCTAAGTGCTTTTTTATTGAAATGAATGCACGACTGACCACCATTAACATCGAAAGATTTGAGCTCATTTAGAGAAAAAAATATGGAATAGAACAGCATACGATCACTATCAAAACATTCACGATACAACTCTCATTGTAGAACTTGTTAATTTTAAATTGAGAAACAAAATAGGAAGCTAACATTCGGTTTTCTGTTGGATCGAAACAATAAAGCGGACGCTGGTCGAGCTATAAATTTTTTGGGGGGACTAAAAAAAAGTAGAGAAAAAAGCCAGTTAGGACCGGTGCACAGTGTGAAGATGACAATAAATTTAGTGATTTTTTCTGAAGTGATAATAAACATCTCATAATTTCTTTTGTTTGCTCTTTATAGGCTTCATCGCGAACGAAGGAAGGAATGAACGGCCAAAGAAGAGAAAGAAAAAAAACAGCCTCCGAAGTGCGAACTATATGAAGCAGCAACGTTAATTATAAAAACACAACCAAATACAATTTATTTTCTGTCCAAATTTTATTTCACGTGCCTTTCGGCCTCATTTCAACTCATCGCATTTAATGCACCGAGACAAAAGGTTACCATGACCATTGTTAGAATTTATGTCTCGTTATTTATTGAGGGGGATTCGATTTTGATTTTTATTATTAAAAAAAATACACCAATGTAATAGCTACGAGCTTGCATAGCTTACGATATAACGACAAAAAGAAACTCGATGGGTTATTTAAATGATTTAACCCCAATCAGAGATGCGGTTAAAGATAAAGCGAGTACAAACAAAAATCCATTTAGCTTAATTATTGAAATTATGAAGCTTAATTCCGTGCCACATCGTATGTTATTGTAAATGGTTAGAGCGCATACAGAAAATGCAATATTTGCACGTTCAAAAATAGACACCAAATTACAATGATGTCACATCATGTGACTTAGATGTCAGAATTTGGTTTTTGGATTCGTATAAGAAATTCTGCCGATAAAAATCAACAATAAAATAAATTGGACTTATATTTTAATTAAAAAGTAAATTGTAAAATATTTTATATTTCGATGGGAGATAATGGAAAAAGTTTTGAATAAAAAGCCAATTGGTTTTCAACCTTGAACTGGAAAATTGTCCCGATTAGATGGGTGACTCTTCTAAATTTTTTATTGAAAACATTGTTTTGCTTTTGTAATATTATAATGATGGTTTATTAGACAATAAAAATAGAATGCGTTTCATTTCCATGGTGTTTTTTTTTCTCGTTTCCATGAGTAAAAATACGATCGGTTGACGGACACAAATGCCCTGTTCTTATCGTAAGTTGTAATTTCACTTTCTGTCCGCTTTTGTTCGAATTTAACATCATCATTTTAAAAAAACGAGGCGTATTAACGTTCAAAAGTTCAATAGCAATTGCAACATTGTTTCGAGCGAGTGCGAGAGCGAGATTATCAAGTCCCATTTTCATAGTAGGTTAGCCAAAACTACATACGTATACATTTACATAGTTGCAATGTTTGTTTGCCGCTTTGAAAATTACACACTATGATTAGATAATTTCCGTTTGGAGGCTAACGAACCGCTTCGTTGGCTGGTTAGAATTTTTCGCTACAATCAAACGCCGCACTCGTTGATGTACTATACAATTTGTTGTTGTTCTTGCCTTGATGTGGCACACAGTTCGAAGGTGGCTTGTGTTCGTATTCTTGATTTATGAGAATATTTACTGCTGTCAGAACGACAATCTTAATGTGTGTTTGGTCATATGTACATTTGCATGGTTTTTTCTCTTTTCTCGTTCGTTTGTTCAAACGATGATAACCCACGATGACTACAACAATAAAAATGATAGACACAAGCACATCAATCCGAACGGATGATGACGATGGAAGAGTAAACAAATAGGCGCGCGCACAATCGAAAGTTATCAGAAGAGATGTTTTCGGTCGTTTATATTCTACTGCTTGTTCCGTACAATCTACTGCGAGTTTATCACGAGAGCGCATCGTTATCAATTTCATTTTTTTTTTCAATTTGTTTTCTTCACTTTTTTTTCGATTTCATTTTACTATTTCGAGTATTTTAAAATCCATTTTGAATTTTCAGCAGGAAAAAAATGGAATCAACCATGCTGTCAATCGAGGAATCAATGTTTTTTTAATCTAAAGTACACGAGAATAAATACGCTACAGGTATTTTGCTGCCTCGCTCTAGATGGAATACACACGCACACACAGACAACAGCATTATTTGACACTCGAACCACGTTTTCCAACAACACTATTTGAACAGGAAAAAAAACGAGATGAACCCACCGATAATTTTGTTTATCCATTTTAACTCTCGTTCGTTTTTATTTACAATTTTTTGGAAGACGGAACAACATTCTATAAAAATCCAAACACATGTCCTGCGTTTACTCGGAAATCGGGACAAAAGGAGGAAAAAGGGTTTACGCACACCATTTCCAACAAGACAAATTATTCGGGCTAAAGGATGTGACAGTTTGTATTTCTTCGCTTTGAGATAACATGGTCTACCTTTTTTGGCACTTGTATTTGAACAGTCGAGATAAGAAATGTCTGTTTACTTTTATGAACACGTTTTGGTCGGATTATTTTGCGTATTAACGATTGATGATGGATGAACTATGGTGAATGCACGAATTTGGCTGACACTATAAAATTCTCCGAATTTTATTCAGACTCACTCAACTGTCGACAATCTAGTGCTATGATATTATTTTCTCTGTAAAAATTGATGTTCAGAAGTTTTTATTTGGATATATGCATCGAAGAATTATGTGTCGAAAATACCATCATATTTATATATTCCGCATGAGTCCCATGAACGTCTCATTTGGAAAACAAAATTGAATCCAGTCATATGTATACACTTATACGTATTGATATCAAAGCCGCCTTCAAAATCAATATTTGCTTCTTTTAAAGTCCAAATGGAAGGCTATTTTTGGGCCATTTCTCATTTGACAAAGAAAAAAACAGCTTGAAAACAATTTTGAAGGTCAAATTCACTTGAAAATTGATCAATATATTACAATGAATTCCACACCAACGTAAAATTGTAGCAAATATTCGCCGGTTGCCCATTGTTATTTCGAACGTGTTTATTCACACATTTTCATAACCACATTCCCATTTCTATTGACACCTCTACAATCGACAAGCATCACTAACAAATTCATCTGTTTGAAATGAACAAAAATGTGATCGTTCTAAAGAAGAGGCAACAAAATTGCATTGAGAAAGAAAAAAAACCAAATAGATCAGCATCTAATAATAGAAGTCTTTTATGCACCACACTAAGTGAATGATTGGTTGCGATTTCGGGCGAATTATTTTCCCGCAGCGGCAAATGTTATTGCTACAACATTTCGGCTGAAACGAATTCACAGTGGTGATAATTGCTAATTAGCTATGCATATTTGAAGAGTTTCGACGTCGCAATTCGTTACGATCACGAACAGAAACGCAAGTTTTTTTTATTACGCAGCCTCATTGTAAGTGCGATGAGGTTCAATATATCGTCTCGTTCTATTGACATTTAAGAAAACTGAAACACATACGCAGCACAAAACTCACGCATTTAAATTGTCGGTAATATTCGATGGTTTCTGCGAATCGCGCTCGTATTCGGTTACGCAAAATGATGCAAGCAAAATGCGGAAAGTCTCGTTGAATTGAACGTATATTGGCTGGAGAATGGGAGTTGATTTGCATTGGCGATATGGAAATGTTACTCTATTCTACTCAAACTGCATCCCATTTATCACGAAACGCAGATGAAAAACTGATTCCGTGTATTGCTTCTGCTGCTGCTACATTTTCCACTGAATTACACCGAATGGTGTGGATCTCGCAGATTTGGCGATGTAGGTGATTTCTCTCTCTCTCTCTCTCTCTCTCTCTCTGCTTCTCAATTTATATAACGCGTGATTTAATTTTCGCCGACGACCAGATTGCAGATGCATTAGATTGTGGTTTTAGTTTTTCTATTTGCACCTTTCCCTGTTTATTTTGCTTTTTTTTTCTCCGTTCGTTGTTGTGGCGAGAATCAGCTAGCCGAAGTGCTGATCGCAAACAACAAATCCGTGCAACGGTCGAGACGAATGAGATTACGAGAGCTAAAATGATCGTAGAATGTGGAGAAAAAAAGTGCTGAGCGTGTTGCAAATGAAAAAAAAATAAACAGTGCAAAGTGACGAGAAGACGTGTAGGTGGTGGAATGCAACAATGCAGCAGCAGCTTTGCACTTCGTTCCATTAATATTATTGTTGGAAAGTTTGTGTGTAATCCAAAGGTGGTTTTACCGGTTGGTCTATGTGTGCATCAGGCAGCAAACACAATGGCACGATCAGTGGACGCGCGAACCGCCCGTTCAGCATGAAAACCAAACAGAATCAACAAACGAACGAAACAGAAACCGAGTTGGAAAAAAAATAAGAAGAAAAAAAACGTAGTGATTTGAAAGAAGAAAATGTGTTCGAATAAATATCAATTTATTTCGCTCATTTGAGTCTCAGTCCATTTGATTGGGAATTTAGATAAAGCGTAAAAAATGCTTTTCATAATTTCCTCATTTTTTTTGCTTCGCCCAAAGTCGAATGAGAAAAAACCTATCGTAATCGCATTTCTCTTTCACGAATGACAGAGATCGGCATTGTATCGATATAGCATGGTAATCCAACATTGCGACTGGTGATTTGGGCGCTCGCGCAGAGCTGCATTGGTTATTGTGTAGGCGAGATATGTAGCCAGAGCGCGAATTTGTACTCAAATGAGCCACAGTTCGGAAATTCCAATACATATTTAAACGGCGCACAGATTTATGGCTTGCGGTTTCTTCTCCCTCTTTTGGCTGCGTTGCGCTCTGTTCATGCAAGAGATCGCGCTTTATAATAAATTTCAAACAAATTTAGTGTTCATTTGTTCGCCTCGCAAATAGTTAATTTTATGCCACAGAATAGATAATTCAGTTTAAATCGAAATTTATGGCTCTTTCTTAAAAAAAAAACTTTTCCACATTGTACACTTACCTGTTTCGCATGAGAGCCTATGTTGGAAAAGCGCATTTTTTGGAAATTTCACACCTCATGTCTCTAGACACACGGAATGATTTTTTTTCCGGATCTTTATCTTTTTTATAAACATACATGTTTGTCGGCTATTTTCACCTTCAATAGACTTTGAGCCATTCGGATTGAACAACAAATCGCACTCGTTATGAGCTGTATCAATACAACGATCATATGTTTTGAGTATTTTGCAATTTCTACGAAATCTAATGCTTAGAATAGACCAGACCAGACTCAGATTTATTTACTTGAAACATCCGCTTGAGATATGGCGAAACTGTTTTAATAAAAAAAAAATTTCAACAACTGAGGACTCATAATAATTTTCAAGCTTAAATAAAATACGGCGCATTGGTGCTCCGTCCTACAAATATGCTTCAATACGTCGATGTATTGAGAGAGAAAAAAATAGCAGCCACACCAAATAGAAAACAACACTAATTTGTGTATACATTTTTGTTCATAGGCGACTGTTTTCATATATCACACTTGTTGCTGATTTAGTCGCGTCTCTTGAGTCATATACAACAAAACGCTTTGTTTTCGCAATTTAAAAAAAAGAACAGATGCTTTTGGCACCGCGCTTATCGTTGCCAAACAGACACGCATTCAGTGTGTATAAATGAATGAACAACACGGAACCGTGTGTTTTCACATTAATTTGTTTGTTTAGGCAAAGTTAGTTGAACCATTGTGACGGAGGCAACCCTGAATCAGTTTAAACGTATCAGTCAAGTTCAATACATTTATAGAACATTTTGTATATTGGGCTTCATACCAGGAACAAATCTTTTTATCCAAACATATTGCGGTAGTCATTCAATACACCTTTTTAGTATGTTGAAACAGATCTAGTGTAAACTTCACAATGAAATAAATTTTTGCGATTTTAAAATGAATTTTCTTTCGACTCTGAATCTGAATCCACGTTTGGATTTGAAGTTTTTCTATTTTTTATGAATGGTCGAAAAAAGATGGAATTTTCCTGACTAACGTACAACAAACCAAGCAATCATTCTAAAATGCAATTTTTCAACCGAGGAACGATGTAACTGCGTGAAACAGCTGTGGTCGATTTGCAATGTCAGTTGAGGCGCACAGTTCATTTGATGGTATAACATGTTTTGGATTCATGGCGTATGCACGAGAAAATATAAATACACGAGCTTGTTTGGTCGATAATATGAATCAGTGCCATTCTTCTAACATTGGTTTAATTAGCCGCCGTTGTTATCACTTTGCTTATTTTTCTATATTCTCGAGACGAAGAAAGAGAGAGAGAGAGAGAGAGAGAGAGAGAGAGAGAGAGAGAGAGAGA